ACTCCGCCCACTAGAAAGGGGAGAGTCCTCGCTTTCTAAAAAGGCGGACCCCCCTTGGGCTCCTCCCACAGGCCCCTAGGGAACCGTTAGAAAAAGGGTGAAGAACGGAATTTTCTTAGGCAAACTGAGCGGTTTGAAGTGGAATATGACCCAACTAACCGAAACCGTGGGATTTTTTAATAAAAGAAATTATGCCAAATTAGATATCGGGCGATTTTGAATAAAGAATAAAAACAGTTAATTAAAAATAGAAAGAACAAGTTTTTATAAAAAAATGTTCTTTTTAACAAATGTATTTTTGCGTAGAATTCCTTTCTACGTAGGCGGCCTTCGGCCGCACTTAGGGATTATAACCCTCACAAAGTAGAATTCCTTTTCTGTGTTGCCAAAGAAGGGGGGCTGAACACCTTTTGCAGAGAACACCTTTCTGCGTAGGCGGCCTTCGGCCGCACTTAGGGATTATAACCCTCAGGCAGTAGAATTCTCCTTTCTGTATTGCGAAGAAAAGGAGCTGAACTCGTTTTGCAAAGAACACCTTTGTATATTTATAATGCTTACTGGTTTATATCCTATCTTCTTTTGTCTCTCATTCTTTTGCATATTTTGGAGTTTGACAGCTGAACTCCGCCATTTAATTTGCATATGCAACCAAAGTCAGACGCGTGATTTTGAAGTTGTTTTTATTTGATGAATTGTGATTAATTGGTTAATATTAAAGTCGTAAAGCATGTTATAACCAATCGAGTAAAGTGTAAAGTGAAGGGGAATACAAAAATGTATTGGTGAAGTGGCTGCTTTAAGGAGAATAGGAGTGATAAATGTACGCTAATTTCCGAATTTTACAAAAAAAAAGGCATGTTTCAAACCCAATTTGTAAATAAATTAGTGACATAAAATTACAAAAGTGGGTGTTGAAATAATGCGTAGACCCTTGAATACAAGTGTGTGGAATTTTTTATGGATCGGGCCACCCCTTTGGACGGAATAGCCCGAAATAGTTGGGAGCGCTACTAAACCCCACCCATTCAAATTCCTAAACTTTGCAAAACTCGCAAAAATTCTGCAAATTTTTATGAAAATTTTCAACTTTTTAATTAGATTTTTTAGAATTTTTGAGTATGCAGTTTTGCAGCCCATTAAATTCTAGTAAAAAAAATGCAAGTTCGGAGTTAGTCAAAAATCGCGTTGATTTTTGAGAGTATAAAGTATTTTCGAGAAAAATTTTTTGTATGGAAGAGACTGCGTGAAAAAATATTGCCAAAATCAACGGTGATTCCTAGCTACTTAAAACTTGCATACTAAAATTCTAAAAAATTGATTAAAACGTTGAAAATTTTAATGCAAATTTGCAGAATTTTCGCGAGTTTAGGAATTATATTTTTATGGGGTGGACTTTAGTAGTCAGCCGCACCTTGTGTTTTAAGAAAACCAGGTGGAATTAACATATGAAACTTGGTCAGGATGTTAAGGGAGGTATCCTCTAAAACATGTATAACTAAAAAATATAAACAATATCATTGTTTATAAGTTATTTGTTGTTAAAATTTCTTAAGTCGTTCCACTTGGTTTCCTTAACAAAAAGTGCATTTGTCACATACTTTCATATATATAAATGCACATAACACTGTACTTAATACTTTACACACTTCTATTTTATTTTATCTTGTATATAAATCACTTTAATTCAACTTTTGTCGACTTGTAAATTACATTGAATTGCACCCATATTTACAATAACACATGGTTGCAAACTGACACATAACATGTGTTGCCATATTGTACAAAATAATACATACAAAGAAGGCAATGTCTAAAAAGGAATACAGGGGAAATCAATACAAAAGAAAATGAAAATTTACCGCTACTTTTATTCTGGGCGTGTATTATTACACTGTGAGACAAATGGTAGGGGCAGTGATCGGGAAGGGTTCAAACTACCGGGGAAAGTTATATCGGTAAAAAAGAAGTTATACGTGCCCGGCGTTTCGCTGGGTCACGTCTAGGAATCGAGATATATATATAACTATCATATAAGGGAAATTGTCACCTCTGGTGGTCTTTTTTTGACATAACTCGAGAACCAATAGTCCGATTTTGCTCAAACAAATTTAAAAAAATTAAAAACTACAATTCCTTTAATCTGTTCATATAACGTTTTTCTATATAATCAACAGTTTTAAAAAAATTTAATATTATAGGTAAAAAATATTTTTTTCTTCATACATTTATTTTTACCGGCAAAACTGTTGATTATATAGAAAAACGTTATATGAACAGATTAAAGGAATTGTAATTTTTAATTTTTTTAAATTTGTTTGAGCAAAAT